ACTGCCACATCTTTCTCCCATGCAGCAGCTGGTAGGTCCTGGTGAGTTTGAAAGGCACCAGAAACTCGAAATGGTAACTTTTGGTTAGCAGTGGAGTGCTAAACCAGTACCTGGTACAACCAAACCCAACCCACAGCCGTTGAGACAATTGTGACTCAGACACTGTGTCTGACAGAGTAGAAGTGTCCCACTGGGTTTCTCATCTTTAGGAAGCAGAGAGGCTGGTGGGTTTGAACTGCCTATCTTTCAGTTAGTAGCCCAATACTTAACCCACTCTTCTGTGCTGCTTAGTATGAGGGGGCTTCAAAAAGTTTGTGGAAAAATTCCATTATCTTTTAATTCCATTTTAACACGAACTTTTTGAAGCCTTAAATTTTACCTTTGTGTGGCCATGTAAGTTCGAAACTACCAGCTGCTCCGCAGAAGAAAGATGAGGCTTTCTGCTCCAGTAGATTTACAGCCTCAGAAACCCCGTGCAGGGTCGTTATGAGTCAGAACTGACTACACAGCACATAACCGTCACCATACATGGTTGAGAGCACTGTAGGATAAGCACTGGACTAGAAACCATAAGGTTGGCAGCCCACCACACAAACCCATCAGCTACTCCTTGAGAAAATGAGACTTGCTGCTTCCACAAAGATTTACAGCCTCAGAAACCCTGTACAGGGTCTCTATGAGTTAACAACACAAGCTTCATGTGGACTGCCTGAGTCTACCTTTTTATGTTTTTAAAAAAGCAATTTATTTTTATCGTTCTGAATACACACAGGAGAACATACACCAACTTAACAGTTCCAACATGCACAGTTCAGTGACAATAATGACCTTTCGGGAGCTGTGCAACCATTCTCACCCGCCTTTCCTGAGGTTCTGCTCCCCCACTAACTTAAACTCACTGCCTCCTAAACGTCTTATCTAATCTTTCCAGTTGATGTCACTTTGAACCCATATGTTGTTCTTATTGTAAAGTGACTGGTGGGTTTGAACTGCTGACTTTGTGGTTCACGGTCCAGTGCGGACCCTACAGCACCACACCAGGAGCTCTTCATCCCATATTGTTGTTGTTATGTGCCGTGAAGTCGGTTCCGACTCATAGCGACCCTGTACAGGGTTTCCGAGGTTGTAAATCTATATGGGAACAGAAAGCCTCATCTTTATCCCGTGGAGCAGCTAGTACTTTCGAACTGCTGACCTTGTGTGCGGTTCGCAGTCCAATTTGTAACCACTACGCTACCAGAGCTCCTTAAACCAGGAACTGGATAGTATTAAAAAATAGTTTTAGTTAGTAAAACTAATGTTCTCCCATGTAAACAAACTATCATATAATTCATAATAAAACATTTAAAAAAAGTTAGTTGTATCTGGCTTAAGGGAAGACATAGCACCAACGTGAAGGGTTACATACAATTTAAATTGACATTACTTCCAACATTTGTATAACTTAAACTTTTTTCTTCTCCCTGATAAACTGTGAAAGAGTTTTAATTAATATTCTAGTTTATTTATCCAAACACATAAAAGGAAAAATAATATGGTAATGCTAAATGAAAACAGATTCTACAGTAAAAAAAAATAAAAGAAACAAAATGCTATAGGGATCAAGAAATAGTAAATTCCTAACAGAAGGGCAGAAGAGAGCTTCTTAGATGTCATCATCTGGGTAGGTAAAGCCAAAATGTGGTCAAATAGAGGGGAAACCATTAAGACATAAAGCTATGTGTTGAATTCAGGAAACAAAATGCCACTGGTTTTGGCTGGACTACAGCACATCATTGTTATTAAGTCCCGTCAAGTCGGTTCTGATTCACAGTGACCCTGTAGAGCGGCTGGTGGGTTTGAACCACCCATCTTGTGGTTAGTAGTCAGTATTTATCTTATAGCACCACACCAGGATTACAGAGAGCAGCATACATGGTGGGAATATGGCAATAAATAATAGATAAAAGTGCAGAACCGGACCACTGAAAACTTTCTAAAGCATTCTCGTTATTTTTTGCTGAAAAATATTAAGGAAGGGAGTGGTACAATGGTGAATAATAGTTATCAGGACTGACTGTGAGGGTTGGAAATGTAAAGATAGACGTTTTGTAGCAAAAGGAGGGGAGTGGTTGACTTGGCAGTCCAGGAGCAGAGGTGCCTGGAACCGTCAAGGGAGAAAAGCGGAGAGCAGGACCCTACCCAGAGAAGCAATGACGCCAGAGATGGAGGCAGAGACGATGACATGGAGAGATGGAGCAGCTGGGGACTCTAGACCCAGAGAGGGAGAGGGGCTATGTGCTGACGATCAAGGAACAGGCTTGCAAGGTATACCGTTTGGTTGGTTGATGATGCATGGAGGGGATTGTAACTATGGCAATGAAATGATATTTGATAGGATGAATGTAAAGCTAATGTTCTCCCATGTATACTATCAAATAATTCACAATAAACATTTAAAAAATAAATAAATAGTTTTAGTTAGGCAGAAGGTTAGGATGTACTGCTCAAAGGACCCTTCTTCTATAAATTACCAGAGCTCCTTTCATCCCATATAGATAGTTCTTAAAGAGGACAATGCTCAAGACAGGCCTTTGTTGTTTTTTCACTAGTTAAGCTGAACTACTGTTTGGTTTTAAGATGATTTCAGGGAATATTTTTGGTTTAATATTTAAAGATTATATCAGTGTAGTAATTTCAGGCATTCATCCAGCCTCTGTGGCTACAGAATATCTATATTCCATGTGAATTGAAAAGTTTCTTCTGTGTTTTCCCTCTTTTGATAAGGATTCTTCGATAGAATATATGGTACTACTGTAGGATAATGTGTTGGACTGCAAGGTCATCTGAACCACAAAATCGGCAGTTCAAGGTCACCAGCCACTCCTCAGAAAGTCTATACAGGGTTGCTATGAGTTGGAAACGACTCTACGACACTCAACAACAACAACAATAGAATATTTGATCAAAATGTTCAGTCATGATAGCTAGACACCACCCAGTATTTCAGGTCTCATGGTAAAGGGGGTAGCTGTTCATGGAGGTAATTAGTCACACATTCCATATTCTCCTATGTCTGACTTTCTTCCTCTGTTGCTCCAAGTGAGTACCTTGGAATGATCCTTGCAAGCTTTTAAGATCCCAGGCACTAGGCAACGAGCTAGGAGGTAGAAGAGAAACACTAAACACTGTATTAATCATCATTAGTTTTCCTTGTAAGTATGGTCGGCGTGCAATTTATAAGACAGCACTGACAAGGTTTGCTCTCTTGCTCTGGGTCTGCATTTAGCTCATCATGTCTGACCTTCAGTTCCAGGCACTTGTAGCTTATCACCTGACCTGATTCATTAGCTCCCACAACCTCAGGCATTAACAGTCTGCTGTCTGGCCTGCCGATTTAGGTTCCTCAGCTCCTGAGACTACGTGGGTAAGGAGAATCATCCAGACTGACCTCTGAACTATGGGTTAGGGACTTGTGTAAGCTGTTTCTTCTGATAGTTGTGGGTTTTGTGAGACACTGCAGTGGACTGCAGACCTCCGGACTATGAGGGAAAAGTGGAGTGGTCATTGACATAAAGGACTGTGAAGCGGTGTCATTTATTTAGGATCTCTTTAAACTCCATGTCAATGGGACCAGCTTTGTGCTGATCTTT